CTTGTTATTCTGCTATTGTTAGCGTTTGCTTTTTGTGTTTATATTGTGCCATTAGTTATCTATTCTTAACGAGTCAACCATAAGTCTTCAACTCATCTTCTTTACGACATCATTATATTAATAGTTTATTTGCTTTGTCTTCTATACAGTGAATATACAGTCTCTCGAGCTACTCCAGCACCATATCAAATTGTCTTTGGTCACCAATGAGTAGGTATTAACTTTGTTCCCCTTCATATGCCTTACCCAATAACTATAGTATTTATCCTTCCTTTTCTCATTCGTGTGACACTCTCGAGACAGATTGGATGATCGTTTTGGCTCGAGCCAGTCCTGCACAACAAAATAAAGGATTAACGAATAGACTATATTGACCCAGTCATTGAATAAACAGACACAAAAATTGTTATTTTTAAACTTTATAGTAGTGCAATCAAAGATCAAAGGTTTATACTAGATAGCTAGATAGGTAGTGATAAGATAAGAAATATAAACCTATGATTTCACTAAATGTTTAGAATATACCAATTTTGATCAAAATTCAGCTAGTAAATGAAGTAGGTATGCGAAAATATATCTGAAAAAAGACAAATTGCGTATAATTTTCATAATACCTACATATTTGTATTTCCCATCCATTTTCTTTGCAATAAATTTTTCTACGTTTCTACGCATATTTTGTCTGAATTCGAATGCATATTTTCCGTCCTTCAATATTCACTCTCTGATATAATTTGAATGACTCTTGAATAAAAGTGGATGAGCACGCATTTTTTTAATCAAAACATGATTGAAGATAACTAATTAATTCTTGAAGAGCCATTCATTACTATCATGCCAGCCCACCATATTTGTCAGATTAATAAATAATCAACGAAAGATCACCAACAATGAAGTGCAACAGGACAATACTCCAATATTGAAAGTATCTAAACCTAAGGACATACCTATTGGCAAAGTTTGGTATTGCTTGATTTGTTTCCATTTAAATCTTCCAATGGAAACTATAATTAAATGGAGGACGGTCTTGATTGGGGTTCACACTTTAAGAAGGATACTTCAGTATTGTTCAGTATCATTTCTTTTCATTTTTCTAATAAGACTCAAAACCAGAGTTGGCAAAAACCCGGGTTTTTGAAAATTTCTATTGGGTTTTTGCTAGTGGCTGTGATAGTTTTTATAGGGTTTTATGTTAACTTAGCTAGACAAAATTGTATCGGGTCTATTCATTGGTCTTAGCAATATTTTTCTTTAATTTTGACAATGTCAGTCAATGAAATTTAATGTCAAAATGTCATGTCAAAAATCCTGACCAATAAAGAAACAATAATGCGACGTACGTTTTCGTAACCAAAGCAATCTTTGATTGGTTTTTTTTTTTGAAGACCCGATATGTTGTGGTTTCAACAGTTTCGCACCTGAGAAGTTTCAATATTGAATTTATCAAATATTGACAATTTTCCAAAAATGACATTTAAACAGTTTTTGGCTCACCAACTTCTTCAATTTTCATCTAATTTCAATGTAAATTAGCTCTAATTAAAGCCAATTAAATTCTCTACAAACCTATTGATCAAGATTTCAATTTGGTTTCAACAGTTTTGCATCTGAGGAGCTTCAAAATTGAATTTATGGAACATTGAAAATTTTCCAAAAATTACACTCAGACAGCTTTTGCCTGACAGCTGACAGCTCCTCTAATTTTCATCCGATTTCAGCGCAATTAGATTCTAATGAAGCCAATTAAATTCTCTACAAACCTGTTAATTGAGCTTTTAATTCAGTTCCAACAGTTTTGCAGCTGAGAAGCTTCAAGCTTCGAGCATTGAAAATTTTCCAAAAATGACACCGAGATAGTTTTTGCCTCACACCTTAATTATTTTCATCCGATTTAAATTTAATTAGGCTTTAATTGAAGCCATTAAATTATCTAGAAACCTATTGATCAAGACTCAAATTTGGTTCTAACAGTTTTGCAGCTGAGAAGCATCAAAATTGAATTTATCGAGCAATGAAAATTTTCCAAAGATGACACCAAAACAGTTTTTGCCACACAAATCCTTTAATTTTCATCCGATTTCAACGCGATTATAATTAGGTTCTAATTGAAGCCAATCAAATTCTCTATAAACCTGTTAATTAAGGTTTTAATTTAATTCCAACAGTTTCGCAGCTGAGAAGTATCACCATTGCATTTATCGGACATTGAAAATTTTCCGAAGATGACACTGAGACAGTTTTTGCCTCACAGATCCTTTAATTTTCATCTGATTGTAACGCAATATGGCTCTAATTCAAGCTAATTAAATTCTCTACAAACCTGTTTATTAAGATTTCAATTTCTTTTCATTCATCAATTATTATCATTCAATTATTTATTTACATGTTTATTAGTACCTATACAAATTCTTTCTTTAGTTACCTACGTTCCTACTAGTAGGTATCTCAAGAAAAGTTCCTCCTGATTTTTACTTTTGAATCTAAGGGCGAGTATTATAAAACTATTTTGACAGATAACTAAAAGTTAACTTCTGGAATTACTGAAAAGTAACATCATTCCAGAAGTTAACTTTTACTTGTTCTGTCAAAATAGTTTTATAATACCCGCCCTCCGCCCTAAGAATTTGTTCAAGTAATACAAGTTGACTATCCTTATGATTTTTATTTTTTTAATATACCTAGATGAGAAAAATATGGAAAATCCTAGATTTTCGATTGATACTTTGTCCCTATGGCAGGTGGGTTTTTGAAATGGGCTTCTGTGTATGCCATAACCCTGCTTAAAACACATATTCTAACATTACCTTTGTCAATATTTAGATTTCAATGCCTTTCCTCAACACAAATCTCGACGAATCCTCATTCAAAGATATGACCGATAAAGGTAAGATAAGTTTAGATAAATAGGTTCTCCTCCACTTGAGTGTGGTGATGCCAAGTGCACACAGAATAAGGGGAGGATTCTTGTCATAGGAGATCAAGCAGCAAGCGGTATTTTTGGCTTCTTAGATGTTCATCTGGACAACAGGCTCTATGATATCAGAGGCGTTGTTTACTCTAATGCACCCCTGGGTGAGATTTGCTATAGGGTTATTAGAGAAACAACATCATACAATCAGAATGACTATATTATTATTGCTCTTAACATTAATCAGCAAACAGCGCTACCTCGCCTCAAACAACTTGGAATTTTGGGTAAAATTGCGAGCATTATTTTTTATCTTAAATTTAATATTGATTCATATCAGAACAGGGTCCTAAATAGAGAACTGCATGAGTATTTTAGCTTTTTCAGAGTGCACCACTGTTCACTTAGAATTATAGAAAATTTTGAAGTAAATAGCCATTATAGGCATAGCACAGAATATTTATGAGAACTTTTAAGCTTGTATGTAGAAATTGGTGTCTTTGTATCTAAATCCAACTTAACTGTAGGAACCCTGTGCCATGAAGATGATAAAAAATCCATAGGCACTCAATGTAATTTATGTGTATGTGATGGTAATGATGTGGATGTAAGATGTAATACCTAATACCTACTTGAAAGTAATTCGGATAATACTAGTATGGGGGCTGTGCAGGATGGTCTTATAGATACTTTGTCTGGAGATGGAAATGCACAAGGCACTTTGTCGTCACATTTAACTATTGGGAGTGACGTTGATTCTGGTTCTGCATTGGACAGAGGGTTCTCTCTCTTCTTGTTGAACGTTCAATCATTATACAAAATAAGACTGGCGAACTGTTTTTGCTCTTGCAATCCTGTAATTTTCCGGATTTTGTTTTATTAACTGAGCATTGGCTTAAGCCCAATGAATGTTTTTTAATTGACAATTATGTACCTGGTATCTTTGTTTTGTAGAAGTAATTCAATCCACAGGTACGGAGGCACAATTATTATGGCTAAAAAATCAGTAGTTGGCCCTAATTTGCTGATCTGTCTATTGTTCGTCGATTTTAATCTGATACTCGGACGGAATGTGAGCTGGTGGCTCCCTACATTAGAACGCCAATTGTTACCTGACGTCACACCTGTTTTTTCCATTTTAAACACACCCTCACTCCTCATACGGAAAGTGTCAGTTAAAAATCGACGAACAATAGATAAATTTGATTCGTTGTTGACTGAAAGGGTGTTTGAGTTTTCAGTTTGTTTGTGTTAACGTATTTAATGTATACCGTAAAACGAGGTTATTTTGTGACAAATTTTACGGTTTCGGTTGATTTTTCTGAATCTAAAAAGAAAAAATTAATTTCTGGTAGGTCAATGATAAACTCCACATCATTTGGCTTTTAAAATGCAATGAGATATTTTGAAAATTTTTAGAAGTAGAGCCGTGGTTTACAAAAATAATTGTCACAATCTCACCCCTATCAATGGGGGGACTTTGTGACAACTAAAAATTTGCAAGCAAGTCCAAATTCGTCCTTTAGCGGGCCGAGAATATGACACAAATCAAATAAAAATGGGACTAATTTTATTAGATGTTTTAAATTCACCCCTCTAGTCGTGAGCACGTGTAACTGATGTGTCACAAAGTGCCCCCAAAAACAAATTTCATTGAACTTAAATGGTTTATTTGTCTAATAGGTACCTACATATTAAAGTTAAAAAAACATAATACCTAACTTGGAACTAAGGTAACTCAAAAAATGAACTAAAAAAAGGTTACTCCAAAAAAATAAAAATAATAAAATGGTACTACCATTGTTAGTACCACATAAATTGTAACAAAAATTCATTTTGTCGTCTTCATATTGATGTCTATCAAACGACTGTGAATTTATTTCTTGACAATAAAGTATTTTTCTTTCTGGTTATCGTCTAAGAAAACTAGCTTCTGTTAAAAACTTCATCTCCTCCTTGATTTTTTTATATTTTTCGTTTTTATACAAATTTGTATAAAATTAAAGCTAACTCAGCCTGTATTAAAATGTAAAACAGGGGGCAGGAAAATGCAATTAGATAAAAGAAACCCCGAATATTTTCACTTAACTCTTAATAATCTTTATTTAATCATACAGAAAAACATGTACAAAAAAATATCTATCAACGCTGGAAATAAAAACTACGCAGGTTATAAATTTACTTCAAAGAATAAGGTGATTAAAAAAACCGATAAAAATAAATGCAATAAATGACATACTATAAGAGACCAGCAGTCAATTTGCATACGTTTCAAAGAATTACTGTCTACTTTAAATCAAATTAGTGTTAGAGTGGCTCGAGAATTAGCAACAATTGTTAGTGAAAGCAAAATTTTATACAAATTTTTACTGGTAGTAGAAAATAGTTTTTCTAGAATTATAAAACATAATATGAATTCGGCATCAAGTATTCATTGTATTTTATAAAACTTCCTAAGAATCTAGAATACTATTTTTCACGTCCTTCACTTATAGTAGTTTGATTTTTAAAGCCGATTCACACTAGGCGATTAAGTCACAGTATGCTCAGAGTGAAGAAATTTCAACTATGGTCTTTTTTCTAGTTATTTGAGATATTTAAAACAATGTTAAAAATTATTAAAGTAGTTTATAATGTTGCAATATATTTGAACAATTTTTGATTACAAAAAGGAAAGTACAATAGAATGATATTTGATTTCACATTGAATTGATGCTTTCTGTACATACATTTGAATATAGTCCTCAAAAAATGCTGAGCCAATAAATATGAACCTTAGCGTGAATTGGCCCTAACTAATAAGTTTGCCATTTTGTTCATGCTAGTAAGGAAGGAAACAATTTGTATTCCATGCACAACTTTTTCCTTCCTTACTTTTACAAACACATGAAAACAGCCACCTTCCCTTGATATTTTTTTTGTTTATGCAAAGTAGCTTCATTGAAGCCAAATAAGAAATTCAAAAAAGACATTTCAAAAACCTAAAACTACAAATGGGTGGATTTTACGGAAAATTATCAAATGATAATGAGGTGCCGTATTTCTCGCCATGCACTCTAACAGAACCAATTTTGGTCAAAGTAAGTATCGTTGTTTCAGTATCAATATTCATTATTGGAATTGGACTTGTTTAGTTTGTCCCTGGTAACAAAATGATCGCCTTCGGACACGAAACGTTTACGGCCTCTAGACGGGAATCTCGCGATGATATTGTCAGTCAGAATGCCTTCTAGGCGACAGAGATCGATGAATCTGAAACAAAAATTTCTAGTTGTAAAATATTATATTCTGTTACTCGAGGTTAGAAGTGATCTAGTCAATTTGCATTAGCCAAAACACTAGCTCCACAATAAACATAGCCCATCTCAGTTTCAACATTTGTTGAAGCACAGATGAACTTTGGTTTACTTTTAGATTGGTCAATGTGCAGACACGATGGGGCCCAGGATTTCCGGGACCTAGCCGACAATCAGGAGTTATAAACAATCTGAATAGTTCTATATTAGTCTAATATCAGAATGGGCGCGGTTTGCGTACCAAATTGGCTAGTTCTGTTCCCCTAGTTTCATACCAAGTTATGGTTTTTACGGAGACTCACTGAGAACTTTTATGATGCTGAACTGGGCATGGAAAACTATAACGTCTTGAGATGTGATCGTTCAACTTCTTCCAGTACTGCCACTAGAGGGGGAGATGTATTGATAGCAATTCAAAAGGGTATTTATAGCTCAATCTGCGACTCGCCCAGGACTATTGAACAGTTATGTGTCAGGGTGCACTAGGCGACTCAGTGGCAACTTTATCGGTTACATTCCCAGATTACAAGCTTTGCATTTTTGGTGATTCCAACTTACCCAAGGCTCACTGGGGTAGTGACACTCTCAATTCTGCAGCTGTTGCAGCTCAGTCTTCCTCAACCTCAGAGCATGAAGCCACTGAATGTTTATCCAATATGAGCGCTTACCACAACCTGTTCCAGATAAATGCATTCTCTAATGCTCATGGCACTCTACTTGATCTGGCTTTCACCCAGGACCCCGAGGATACTTGTCTCTTAGCTAATGACATTATCCTCCCCATTGATGCATCCTGCTTTACCCAGCCTGACGCGTACTGCTATGATTTTGGGTCTGCTGATTACACGCTCCTCAGTGATAACCTTGGGATGGTTCGCTGAGATGACTTACTCTAGGGTTTCGATGTAACGGAAATGACCAGGGTTTTCTATGACGTTCTCTATACGGCTATTGATTGTTGTGTACCAAAGAAGAAGCTCTCAAGCCATAAATTTTCACGATGGTTCTCCCTTGAACTAAAGGACCTAATAATTAAGAAGAAAAGTGCCCACAGAACTTGGAAGCAGACGTGTTCCCCAGCTGACTATGTTGAGTTTTCACACCTTCGGGCTCAGTGTAAGATTGCTATAAAAATTATGTCATATCCTCAGAGGTGTCATTTTTTAGGGATAAAAATCTAAAACATTTTTGGAAATTTGTCTTACATGTTTTATGACGGTAAATTCGCCAAAACTGTACCTGAACTAGCTAATCTTCTCGGTGCATACTTTCATTCTGTATACTCAGACAAAACATGTGTCTCGGACACAGCATTTCTGATAGTAACATTCGCATTCATGACTTTGAAATCTCCATCTGTTATTTACGAGGAACTGTGTAAGCTACGAATCTTTCGTGGACCTGGCCAGGGTAGCATCCCCCTCTGATGCTCAGCAGCTCTATACTATCTCAAATCAAATCAAATCAAAATATGCTTTATTGTCATAAAAACAATTGTTGTAAACAAAGCTATTCTTAATAGTAAAAAATAAAAAATGGAGAACTATGACAACAATATAAAAAAAAGCACTTACAACAAAGAAATGGAAACTTATATCTAACTCAAATACAAAAATATCTTAAAACAAAGAACAAAATTTAAATTATTATTTGAAGAATCAAAAGTCAAACCTTAAAACCTAATCTTAAGATCCCATGTCAACATAAAATTCGCTTAGGCTGTAGTAGGCTTTGGTCATTAAAGTCCTCCTTAAATTATCCTTAAAAATCCTAACACCCATTTGCACCGACTTTTCCTTATGGGACCATTAAAAAACAGACCCTTAAGTTTTAAGGGTCGCGTAATTCAAAATCATTTGCACGGACACCATTGTACCAAATTTTTACCATTTAACAGAATTTCATTTGTGGTACAACATGACAACGTCGCATTTATGTAGGGATTTTGCGTTGTGCTACTCATATTTATGTCATGTGAATGTATGGTGAATGTCAAAAACGTTCGAACCAAACATAAACATGTATTTTGTTTTGTTATTGTATTTGAAAGAAGAAAGAAGGAACGTTGTGGTTTTGGTTTATTTATATTAATAAACAGTTTATAGCTTTGGTTTTTGGTTTACCATGAGTACAATGACTGAGAAAAATAAGAGGAAAAGGTCCGTGAATTTTACCATGAGGGGACTGAATCAACAAATTGCACTCATGCGTTTTTAACTGAAAAAGGCACTCGTGCACTACGTGCACTCCTGCTCTTTTTCAACTAAAAATGCATTCGGGCAAATTTCCAATAAATTATCAATAATTTCCATTGCACTAGTTATATTACTATTGATTATTTCCGTGCATAAAGTTACGTGTTTAGTTGAAGTTTTTTCGTTTTCTACTTGATATTATCTTGGTTTTTTCTTTCTATAATTGTAAGGCAATACCGCAAAAAAGATGGAAAGTGCGGGGGCAAATGCCAGTAAGAGAAGATCCGAATTTGTTACCAAAGAAACAAAAAACTCTTGGTCGAATTTTTGAACAAATATCCGGCCCTTTTGTCGGGATAATTTTCGAACTCCTTTCATGGAAGGAATCTTAGAACATTCTTTTGAAAGTCGAAAGTTTTTTATGAATTCTCCGTCATTACCTAAGCATTGTTAATGCATGCATCTATTCTTGGATTTCTAAAGCCTTTGCGGTTCTAGAGCATTTAAATTAACAATATTTTCGAATTCCATGAGGCCAAGAATATTCTTTGTCGACTAAATTGAAATTTTTAAGAAAGCTTTGCGTGCAATTTGGAAATGCACGAGCTCTAGAGGTGACGCATGTCAAATGCAATCTTGCGTCGACTAATTTAGCGAAATGCGTCGACGAAAGTTTCAAATAGCCACATGTGCGGTTTTTTGAATTTCACCGGTAATGCACGTTTCAAATAAACCCTCCCAGATTCAATTCCGTCATTTTTTAGGTTATCCAGTGCAATGAAAAGTTCATTACCTATTTTTTTATTCACCGAGGATAAGAAGTCAACGTCGACACAATCAACCTTGAGGCTTTGAAGCTCATTGCGAAGACATTTGTTGTCAGCCTCTAATGTTCTGATTGTTGAGATTAGGTTTCTGCTATCCATCTGTAAATCTTCAAATTCAGATTTTAATTTATTAATTTTCTCATCCTTAAATTTTACATTTTCGTCATATTTCAATAACAGTGATTTATGAGCAGCAATTTTTCATTTAAGACCTGAATTTCCTTTTGTCGCTCCTCCAATTCGGATCTACAGTGTGGCCGTATAGTAAGGAATAAATTCAGTAATTATTCTTCCAAGCAATTTTTTTTTAAATCCTCGAACACGTCAATTTTATTTTTTCTCAAGCATTTTTTATAAAATAAAATTATTATACTGGACAGGTACTAACTTAATTTTATTAAATAGACATCTCTCATTTTTTTTTACATTTTCGGATTTCTGATAAAATTCTAAGTGTTTTTCATGAAACATCTCCTATACCTATCTTCAACTGTTTCGGAAATATTGACAGTTGAAAATTGACTTTTTGCAACTTTGACAGGCTGTAAAACCTAATCGGTTAATTTTAGAGGAAAATCGATTTCACATTCCTATCTTAGATTTTTATACACTATCATTTGACACCAACTTTGAATTTAATCTATGATTAAAATTTCCAGTTAAGTTTAATCTCCGGATAAATTCAAAGTTGGTGTCAAATGATAGTTTATGAAAATCTAAGATCGGGATGTAAAATCGGTTTTCCTCTAAAATTAACCCTTTAGGTTTTACAGCCTGTCAAAGTTGCAAAAAGTCAATTTTCAACTGTCAATATTTCCGAAACAGTTAAAGATAGGTATAGGACATGTTTCATGAAAAACACTTAGAACTTTATCAGAAATCTGAAAATGTGAAAAAAACGAAGGGTGTCCATCAGGCGCGGCTCGTGAGTTTTTTTACAGGTGGGTCAAATTATGAGGGACAGCGCCGCAGGCTAAAATAGCGCCTTAGGCGAAAAATTTTTGGTGCTAAACTAAATTTTTTGGCTTTAGTAGGAATTTAAATTTGAATATTTGAATTTCGCGCTCATTTATGGTCATTTTGAAATTTGACAAATGATGACGTAGATATTCGGGTAATATCCTTGCTAGATATTGGGTAATATCCTTGCTAGATGTTGGGTAATATCCATAGGTAATATCCTTGCTCCTAATTTCAGTTTATGTCTTTATGTCTAGGTCAAGTAGAAAACAACGTTAGAATCCTTTTTAGAATTCGTGCAAAAAGTTAGTAAATAATATTTAATTAATAAAGAAAATACAACAACAATTTAGTTAATTAGACCCATCCCTACATTTTAAATAGAAAAAATAACTTACTTTGGGTTGGTCTAATGTTTATTGTTTAAGTCGACTGAGTCCCAAATTTAGACACGTTTGAATAACAAATCAATTCTCCTATCCTTCTGATGAGCAAAGTGGTCAATGACTAGTTCATTGAAGTTCCCAATTTTTTTGATAAATGCCTTCTCAATACTGAGAATAGCCAATGCACTGAACCTAGACCTCGACCTAAGACTCTTTCGTGGTTTGGTATAAATCAAGCTTTGCTTTTGGACGACCACTTTTCTTTAATTCCAAAAGTCAATCCCCTACTGGAAATTAAAGATATTATTTCCTGAACAAGGGAACCCATTTTTGTGAAGCGATTAAAGAAAGATTCAGGACAGATTACTCAAAAAATTAAATCAAAACAAAAACAATCGAGTGACAATGACAATTCAGTAATATTGTTTTAAGAAAAATAACTCTGGACACCCCAACACTCTAAGCCTTTTGTTTTTCATCTTTCTTCAATAAACGCGATTGAAAAACGACAATAAAATCGTCGAATTCTGAGCGCTCTTGTTCCATTCCGATAAATACCTATATCGATCGATCAAGGATCTGGCGCCGTTGCCGGCCGTCGACGTGATGGAACATATGGACGCAAATGTGCCTCTTTATCTTACTCATTTACGCCCGTTATGTCTCTCTCTCTCTGATTCGTATTGCATTCGCCTATGATCATTTCAAAGCTATAAGCCCAAATTTGAATCCGGCCGAGCGCAGCTAGGCCTGTATTTTGTAATTTTAAAAGGTGGGTACCCAATATGCGCAAAATAATTCGATTTCGGTATTCTGTTGAGCGTGATGTTGGTTAATTTAAAACGTAATTATTCAAGATGTTTAATTGAAAATTTATTGTTTGATTTTTTGGTGGGTCATTGACCGAATGACCTTACAGAGGAGCCGCGCCTGGTGTCCATTCAAAAAAATTAAGTTACCACCTGTCCAGCTTTTCTGCGACCACCCTGTATAATAATTTTATTTTATAAAAAATCCTCGACAAAAAATAAAATTGACGTATTCGAGGATTTTTGAAAAAATTGCTCGGAAGAATAATTATTGAATTTATTCCTTACTTTACGCCTGCACTGTATAGTTTACCTGCTCTATGACACTATCAGACAGTATTTGAGATCCCCTTTTGAGGCGCTTTATAATTACATTTTGCCATACACTCCCAAAAACAGCTATTTTACGGACTCATTCAAGTCCGTAAAATGCTTCTTTTTAGGATTTTTTTTTTCTTCCTGGATGCACCTTTATGATTTCAAAAATTAAGGAAATTTTGCAAATTTTATCGTTCTGAAGAATTCTAAAAAGCGTATGACAAAAAATAGTGTTTGTCACACGTACCTAAAGAAGTTTTTCAGGACTCATCTGCTATTCCGGACTCGGCTAACGCCTCGTCCGGAAACAGCAATGATTCGTCCTGAAAAACTTCATTTTAGGTACTTGTGACAAAAATAACTATTTTGCCATACGCTCCCAAAAACAGCTATTTTACGGACTCATTCAAGTCCGTAAAATGCTTCTTTTTAGGATTTTTTTTCTTCCTGGATGCACCTTTATGATTTCAAAAATTAAGGAAATTTTGCAAATTTCAGTGTTCTGAAGAATTCTAAAAAGAGTATGACAAAAAATAGTGTTTTTCACACGTACCTAAAGAAGTTTTTCAGGACGAATCATTGCTGTTTCCGGACGAGGCGTTAGCCGAGTCCGGAATAGCAGATGAGTACTTGTGACAAAAATAACTATTTGGTTTTCCAGAGATTCCGTTAGTTCACAGTTTTCATTTTTTAAATTTTTGTTAGCACTTTCCAGTAATTTTATTTTACCTTCTAATACATGCATTATGCATTTTATTCTTCTTGATCTTTGATACATTCCCTTAAGTCATTCTTTTCTGTGTCCAATTTTAGAATCTGATCTGTGTGTGTCGCATTGTTTTTAGTTTTTACTTTGAATTTTGTTCAATTTATTGTTCCTTTCTTCCAGAAACTTAATATGTTACCTAAAGTGTCAATATCGGATTTGAGTTGTTGCTCATTTTCCAATGCTGATTCATAACAGGTAGTTTTTAATTTATTTAGATTTCCAATGTGGTCGTTTTTTAATACTTAGCTCAAATCGCAGATCACTTATTGTCGTTTGAAGCTCTAGTAACTCTACATTATCTTTTTCAGAGTATTCATTTCAGCCTTTAGCGCATTTCTGACTGCAGTATATTCTATGGCGTTTTATTATTTTCTTTATTTTGTTCAATGAATCACTTAGTAGTGGGGTATTTCCTGAGATTTGGAAGCGGAGTTTTATCACGCCCATCCATAAGACCGGTGACAAAATGGACATTACCAAATACAAGCCTATCAGTATCCTTAACACTATCCTAAGATCTTTCAGAATATAGTAGGTAAATTCACAACTCCTATCATCAACCCTTGTCTAATCGAACAGCAAGCAGGTTTCCGGCCAAAGTGCTCAACCGAAACTAACCTTCTGACGTACCAGCGATGAAAGCGATGGAGTTGTTCACTCCATATACCGGTCTGGCAAGTGAACATCTTACAGGCCAATTTTAATGCAATAGAATGAAATGTCTCGAAAAAGTCCAAGGTTAAATAGAGAACGAAAACGTTTTTCCCTATTCCACCTCCAGCATTCCTAGCGCTGCATGCTGGAGGTGGAATGGGGGAAATCGTTTTCGTTTTCTATTCTTTCTTAGACTTTATCTAGATATTTCGTTCTATTGCATTAAAATTGGCACGTGAGATGCTGACTTGCCAGACCTTTATACCGATTTTGCTGAAGCCTGCGACCGTGTCAATCACAACGAGCTACTTGCGAGACTTGAGAGAATTGGAATATCTGGTACTCTGCTTGCGTGGATCAGTGACTATCTTAGGAACAGAACCCAAACAGTCAAGATCATCAACTTACAGCCCATTGACATCCCCTCAGGTGTACCACAAGAATCTCACCTGGCCCCCAATTCTTGAAAAATTTCGCATACGAAACTTGATTCGAATTTGACTGACAGCAATTTAAATTAAATGGGAAGCGTTCGAAATCATTTCAAATTTCGTATGCGATATTCTTCAAGAATTGGGCCCCTGGGACCCGCTGGAACTCTGTAGCGGATAAGGATCGTTATCCCTATCGTTATGGCACTTGCTGTTTTCTTGTTTCTTGTTGAAATCAACAGACAGGAGACGTCAATAGAGATGGAGAAAATATCTCTATTCGTTACAGAGTTCCAGCCCTCTGCTGGTATTCAATATTTTCATCAACGATATTGGTTCTTGTTTCAATAATGGTTTTTGTGTTTTGCCGATGACTTGAAGATATTTGCGCGCGTCTCCTCCCATGAAGACTGTGCCACACTCCACACTACAATTTGACTTGGATAGACTTTCCGATTGGTGTCTCACTCACAAGTGGCATATCATGGAACTCAATGCATCTAAATGTAAAGCTATCGTTCCACTCTCCACTCCAAAAGTTAAAGCCTCATACAATTTGTTTACCACATAAGCAATGACTGATGAACCACTAGAAACAGTGTCTCAACAACTCGGTGTCATTTTTGATTACACGTTAAGCTTCTCCAGCCACATTTCGGATATTGCTATCAGGTCTCTGAAACTGCTGGGCTTTGTTAAAAGGCGTTCAAGGGACTTCACTAACATCTTTTTCATCAGGCTTCTCTACTGCACAATGATAAGGCTTATCCTGGAGTACTGCTCCTCAGTTTGGTCACCTATAGACCTGTTCGCACAATAATCACAAACCAGTCAGAATGAATTTCATTGATTGAAAATAGTCAGAAACACTAAGAAAACTAGTTTCAACCAATGAAATTTACTCTGACTGGTTTGTGATTTCTGTGCGAACAGACCTTATGTATTCTGTCCACATCAACGCCTTGCACCGTAAATTTGTACGGTACTTGGCCTTCAAGGCAAGTATAAATATAAAGGTAAAGGTAAAATTTATCACCTTTCAATGCTATTTGATAGGGATAGGCGATAATTTTACCTTTATCTTTGGACTACAGATTGTGAATAGGATATAATTGTTAATGTGATATTTAGTAATAAGAAATCATTTTATTGTAAGTAATGTTCGCCATCTTGTCATGTTGTTAAGTAGTCTTTTGTTTTTCTATTTTAATTCTTGTTGTCAAATAATTTGTTGTCTATACGTCTAATTATTGTATATAGATGTTCTGTATGCTATCATGGGATTTCCCCTCAATAAATAAATAAATAGTCTCTAAACTCCAAACTAAATATTGTGCTTACCTATCCAAAATGACGTAGGCCAAAGGAACATCCATACAGATATCAGGTAGATCGTCGAACACGCGGAAAAAACCCCTCTCAAGTTGGTCGCGAGTGACCTGAACGCTGGAATCGAACGCCTTGAGCAAGCTGCAGATGGCTTTTTCTGTTTTTTCACTGTTAGCTTCTAAAGCCATCACTATGGCTTCGTAGACCAACTCGTGATGGAAATGCGGAACCTGTAATGCAATTTATAAATTAATTGTTATTGGCGATTGGAAATTAAGAAATAGAAAATAAATACTGGGATTGAGCAACATTACACACCAGACCTTCGTTTCGTAACTTGAAAAAATGTGAACAAAAACCAAAAATCCTTACTTCAAGTTCCTTCAGACACCTCGAAGCTTCTTCCGCATCACCAGAAGAAACGAACTCTTGAAGAAGCAAGTTCATTTGCCTGGTCAAAGCCTGTACAGGCCTGAGAGGTCCTCCAACGCCCCAAACATTATCCAGGCGTACTAATCCGTGCTCCATGGAGAGAAGAGTGTCTGCGTGCACCAAAGCTTCTTGGAAAATAGTTTCGTCGCTCTTCTCTTTAATATCGACGATAAAACGAGGAGGAATACAGTCGTCAGCAATTGCTCTTGCAACAAAATTACCTAAAAATTATCTTAATCACAAGAGGTTACTACAAGAGTAATAATTACTTGCCAAGTACTATCGGCGCATCAGGAATATCCAAAATTAAATCGCTCAAATTAGCGAGAAGATTTTCAAAGGCCTTGACAATGTCAGACTCAGTCAAAACATACCCATAGAGGTCAGAGATCAACACAGACGTCAATTCTCTGTGGGAAGGCTTATGGTCCATGGCTATTTCTACAGCCTGTTGTACAAAAACATCCCTGAGATTGGCTGGCACCATTTCCTCCACTGATTGCATCACCTCTTGGATATCATTGCTTTCGAAAAACTCCAAAATGATTGGCTCGCATTTTTTCTTCAAGCTTTCGCTGGGCACTTGGGGCACGACTACTTTTAATTCTACATCGTTCGCGTCCAGTTCCGTATCGAAGTTGGGATCGTTCACGTCTTCAATGTCTTCCAGGAGTTCTGAGCCGGGTTTACCCCAAACTCCTTTGCCGCCGGCTCCGCCTTTTTTGGGCAAGCCGCGACCGTAGCCATTGCGTGAGCGACGACTGTTTTTCCAAGATCTGGATAGAAAAAAGGTTATTTGTTTATATATGGAAATTTTAACAAATCAATAATCTAGCCCTGATAATGGTACAGGTACTCTACAAGAATCATTAAAAAAACCACATCAACAGCGATTGGATAAAAATTACTATGTAATATTTATCTCATAATAATGTTAATTCGTTGATTGTAATCTGATTTTATTATGTTTGCTGACGATTCAATACATTGTTTAATTTGTAATTATGCTGACAATATATAAATATTGAAAAGTGATAGTGATATTGAAATTTTGTTTGGTGTAAATATGATATGCCGAGTTTCAATAAATAATACTTCCTTATTAAATTTAAGTGATGCATATGTTATTGGCGAAGTGCCTTATTCAGTGAATCCATGGAATACGATCCCATCCACCAATGGTATAAAATAATCAGAAATTCTATATTTGTAGGCAATGCACACAAAAAATAATCTATCTGCAATAATAAGGATGTTAATTTAATTAAATGCAGGAAAATGTCCCCTAATTTAAAACGGTTACAATAACATTTTGCTCAAAAATTACATCAACAGCAAGAAGACAAAACATGTGAATTTGCGGGTTTGTATGAATACCGCCTTTCGATGGGTACCTCACATAGAGGAGCCAAACTATAAAAAATCTAGACCATGACGGCAACACATGTCCGAAAATAAATCAATCTGCCCACGAATTCTTGGGTATATTTTTCTTTTTAATTTATTCTTCAACATATAAAAACATTCAGAAAAAAAAAAACAACTAAAAATAGCAACCTATCCCCAAATTATCACCTTGGCCTTGTTTTCAAAATAATTTTTCAAAACATCCTCCATCATCATCGTCGGCAGATTGTGTCCACAGCTGGACAAAGGCCTCTCTCAAACATTGCCATTCTCTTCTATGGATACTGAACAACCAATTTACAGTTTCTAGTGATTCTGTCAATGTAGTATGTCTAACAAGACGTAGCCTTTCTAATATAATAAGTTGTCATTATAGGATAGTTCAAAACAATAACATTAATATTTTGTTGGGAAAAATCGTTGAAATTATCTCAGTTCTTGTTCAAGTAGGAAAATACTGAGCGAACAAATCAGCAATAGTCATACCTACATATTATTATGGAAAAATTCATTAGATTCTAGTCAGAACAAAAAGAGATCTTTTCAACATGATGTGTAGTTTTTAGAGAAACATAAGAGTAAGTTGAAAATATTATGTTGATTATACAACATACAACTCACTGTACAGGGTGGCCCATTTTCGATGTTTTAATGGACTATATCAAAAACCAGCAGAGATATCAAAAATCTGGGAGCACATTCTCGAGCTCTTTTTTTGGGAAAATAACAATGGCGAAGACAAATCACGGCTAACTTGATGCGTTTAGGAAATACAGGGCACTTTTCAAATTTAGTCCAATTTTAAAAGACTCTCTAATCTCCTTATTATTCAAGATATCTAAAAACGAAAAATACTTCCTATAGGCAGTTTTTCAAGTAGAATCCAGTGGCATGACCAATTTTTTTCTAGATGCCACCGATTTAGGAATATTGACCAAAGTTGTGTTTTTTTAAATAGGATACCCCGTATATTATTTTTTCATTGAATAGCTCTTTGTGAGCTGATTTCAATGATATAAGGTTTTATACCTTTATCTTCAATAGTTTTGCAGAAAAAAAATAAATTCCGTTTTTTCCATAAGAAACAATGAATTAGAAAGAGATAGTAGAACTATGAATCGGTTACAAATTTCTTAATTCTAAATTTAATTTTTCAGTTCAGCTAATTTTTTTTTAATTTGAACTATGAATCGGGGGTGATAAATAGGCAACACATAATTTATTTAATGACATATCTCTCTCTAGCTCATTGTTTCTTATGGAAAAACGGGATTTATTTTTTTTCCTCCAAAACTATAGAAGGTAAAGGTATAAAACCTGATATCATTGAAATCAGCTCACAAAGAGCTATTCAATAAAAAAATAATATATGGGGTGTCCCATTTAAAAAAAAAACACAACTTTAGTCAATATTCCAAAATCTGGAGAAAAATTGGTCATGCCACTGGATTCTCCTTGAAAAACTGCCTACAGAAAGTAGTTTTCGTTTTTGAATCTTGATTAATAAAGAAATTAGAAGGTCTTCTAAAATTGTGCAAAATTTGAAAAGTGCCCTGTATTTCCTAAACGCGTCAAGTAAGCCGTGATTTGTCTGCGTCATTGTTATTTTCTCAAAAATAGAGCTCGAGAATGTGCTCCCAGATTTTTGATATGTGACCGAAAGGCTCACAGAAATGAGAATATCTGTCGCAACTAGTAAAACGGAGATGCTCATGATGACCAGGAGGAGGAAGGTGCTAGAAGCCGAAATGAATTTGAATAACATTATAATACAGAGCCAGAGGGCGGTAAAGTACCTAGGAGTATATTTTGACAAGGACCTGAGGATGACAACACATGTTAACAAAATAGCAGAAAAGGCCAACAGGATGCTAAAATTACTTATGAGAATAATGCCAACAAGAGAAGGATTGTAGCTAGTGCAGTGACAGCAATACTGCAAGCTGCATCGATAATAGTTATTTATACACCAAGTGAGTTAAATGAATGTTTATTCATGAGAAGAAAGTTTAACCCACGAGCCTTAGCGACTGGGTTAATTTTCTTCGAATGAATAAACATGTTAACTCACGTGATGTATACAAAATTTTATCCTATTTTGATGGACATTTAAATTAATAGGAATCAAATTATAAAAAGAATTCATTAAGCAGCATATGAAAACGTCTAAATATTGAAATTGGTGGTTGCTAGGGTATAATTAGTTGTTTGTTTGTATTTGCAGCAGATTCTATACTGGTAGAGTGACTTAAAAGACCGAGAGTGAGTTAAAAATATTTTAAATCACTGAGGTGATAAACGTCTACTTACCTTTGTTATTATGCGTTCAATAATGTCATTTTTAAACGTCAAAATTGGATAAAATATAAAAATCACCTCAAAATGTTTAAAAGGGTGAATCAAAGATTGGCTATAGGAATCACTTCTGCCTATACAGAACGGCCTCGATGGCTGCGACGTAAATGCTGGCGGGACTACCACCGATCGACCTGACCATAAAGGAAAGATTGAAAATTTACAATGAAGGAAAGCAAAGTCGAGGCGACGCGAGGGACCAGCTATTCAACAACTGACAGGAAAGATGGACAGCATATGATGGGTTCGCAAGGCACTTCATCAAGATTGTGCGAGGCTGGATCAATAGGAAGGAAGGGGAAACTGATTATTATACAACACAAGCGATGACAGGCTACGGAATTTTCGGGACCTACCTAAAGAATATTAGAACGGCGGAAACGGACGAATGCTGGTATTGTGGACAAGAGGACACACCCGCACACACAATCTTCGTGTGCACGGAGGCTGAAGACCTTGGGGAGGAAGCTGCGGAAAAGCGCAGGACCGAAATAACGAAATAAGTAATATAAGTATAGAGAATGTTGAAAATTTATTCATGGAGAAAAAAAAATATGTCATTTTGAAAGAAACTGAACAACACTTATATCAACTTAGCAAATACGCTGAATATACAGCTGAAGATAATAAATATTTTGTTGAACAAGAGTATACAAATTTAAAAGATCGCATAAAGTTTGTTTTAGAAAGTATCGATTATTGGACATAATCTGTTCATAATACTGAGGACGAACTCAAAATTGCAAAATCCCCCTATAATACCTTTAAAAATAAAAAAGTATAATTACCTTGCTTTATGAACGAATCCTCCTGAATTAGTATTGCCCTCCTTACTATTCTGACGATGCACCTTCTTCGGTTTACGTCTGGTGGCCACTTCAACGTTGGCAGAAGTGGAGTTTTCTTTGGCGGCAGCCATTTCCCGTTCTACCACCTTTTCAATGTCCTCTTCGGCGGACAAAGTGTTGATGGAAACATCTCCACGGTCTTTGGCCATTTTTTTTTTGTTTCTGGGCGCTCTGTCCCTCGAACAAGCTTTTTTTCAAACGAAAATACCCAGGCTAAACTTGGAGTCGACAGGAAATGCCTTTGTGGGGCTGTCTCCACAAACTCTTCAGTTTATTCCGCCAAGAAGGGTCTTCGATCTAAAGTAAATAAATGCAAATTATTTTACTATACAAATAATTACATGAAATAAATTTACTGCTTTTGGCATTTAATTAGCATAAGAAACTTGTTATTTTGCGTTTTTGGTATGCAAACCGTTAAGTTAAAAATGCAAGTCAATACGAATTTTATATTGGTTGTTCAACATTGTGCGTATTTTGAAACTGAATGAGACATTCTCTTTTGTTTATTTTTTTCAATGACATGGCCTAATATTTTAAGTGCAACAATTTTTTTGAAGTATGCTGAAGATGTCAAGATCTATTTGTCTCTCTTCACCTCGAATTTGGTATCTGAAATTCAGAAATATCCAAATCGATTTTATGATTGGAGTAAACAGAATAAAATGATACTCGGCACAGAAAAATGTGAAAACATTTAATTTTCTAAATCCAGAAATAGCCCTATCAACAATTTATCAGTTAAATAATAATGCACTTGATAAATTGAGCATGATCAGGGGTGTTGTCGTATTTGACTCTAAGCTAGTTTTTCACAGCACATAGAAGTTGTTAGTTACAAATAACGCTTCAAAAGTGTTGGGATCTGCAAAAAGAAATACTGTCAATATTATTAACATTGGCGCTATAACTACTCTCTCTTGATCACATAAACTATAGTGCACTTGAAAGGGAATTCAATAAAGGATTTCTAAAAAACAGAAGAGACTGTTATTTTTGGGTATGCTTCATTTACATAGACATTGTGACTGTTGTATGAGGGATTCCCCGCTAGTTATGCGTCATTCCCAATCCCAATTCTCAACAATCCCAACACATAGGTGCCAAAGTATCTGATTCATTTAGTTCAAGTATCCAAGTTTCACATCACTACTAAAAATGTTTCAATCGATCCTACGGGATTGAGAATAAAATGTTAAGCCATAATTCAAATGTGATTGGTAAGGAGTTATGTTATCAATAATTATATTAGGTTTGTGTTCAATTTTAACTCTTCAAAACTCTTTTGCCAATCACATTTAAATTTTCGCCCAACGTTCTATCACAGGTTCTATTATCAATCCGGTAGGGTTTCAGATCGACTCAAACGTTTTCAGCTTTATTAGTAGATTATTAACTTGACTATATTGAAAAGAACAGTACCCTGGTCAGCTAATATCGCTAATAAAAAATGGAGGATGGTGGTAGAAGAGTGAAAATTTAGGGTTGTATGTATTTTTTAATGCCACATCATAAAAACATTTTAGAAAAATGTTGTCCAAAAAATAAAAATATAAATTTTGGGGTGGACCACCCTTATCACTTAGGGGTATAAAAAACAGATGACGACCGATTCTCAGACCTACCGAATATACATATAAAATTTCGTAAAAATCGGTCAAGCCGTTTCCGAAGAGTATTATTACAAACACTGTGACACCAGAATTATATACACACAACAAAAAAAGTTTTGCACCGCCCTGTATTGTAATTACAGAATAGTCATCGACAAATAAACATTTTGTTATCTTCAACTATGGAATGTGTCCAGTACATTCACTAAAAAAGGTTTTAGTCTAGGAAAATAGTCGAAAAATACATGTATTGCAAAAAAAAAATTCCTACCCAAATGAACTTTTCAGGGATGATAAGGGGCGGATGGGTTTTCATAAAACCGAAAATATCAAACATTCACCCCTCTGGCGTTTTGCGCTATAGGGGTTGAAAGTGCGCCATTGGCGATTACTTGGTACCTATTGATTTTACAAAAAAATGTTTCAAATAAAAGATGTGCAACATTATTTGATCTACAATGTTTGTCTGAAGACTTTTTTGATTAAGGGCCATCTGTGGTCATAAGGGCCGTTTGAAGTTTTATAATGAAAATGGAAAATTTTAACCAACGTGAAATTTTTTTCTACAGTACATACAACATTTTTGCTTTATTAAGTTTTTACTCACCCCCTGCCGTTTTTCAATAGGGGTAGTTTAAAGTTTATTTATTTTTTCACAAAAAAATTTCCTTATAAAAGTTTTATAAGATTACATTTCCTACAATTTTTCCCAATCAACTTTTTTTGTAACTCACCCCCATTCAGCGGGGGGACACTTCCCTTAGGGAAATTTTAGTTTTTAGGGGTATATATTAATTTTTTTTCTCTTTTCTCACCTTTAGTGCATATAAAAAGGTGGAATTAACATTGTACTAAAAGGATTTTTTTTCCACAACCTTTTCGTTTTTAGGGGTAGTTCGCCTATTTTCAACTTTGCAAAAAAAAGTTATAGAGAAAAGTTGCTCAAAATAATAAAATGAACAAGTTTTCTTAATAAATTTTTTTTGTAAAATTGAAAATAGGCGAACTACCCCTAAAAACAAAAAGGTGGTGAAAAAAAATCCTTTCAATACAATGTTAATTGCAACTTTTTATATGCACTAAAGGCGAGAAAAGAAAAAAAAAATTAATATATACCCCTAAAAATTAAAATTTCCCCGAGGGAAGTGTCCCCCCGCTGAATGAGGGTGAGTTACAAAGAAAGTTGATCGGGAAAAATTGTAGGAATTGTCATCTTATAAAACTTTTATTAAGAATTTTTTTTTGTAAAAAAATAAAAAGACTTAAAACTACCCCTATTGAAAAACGACAGGGGGTGAGTAAAAACTTCATAAAGCAAAAATGTTGTACGAGTTGTAGAAAATTTTTTCACGTTGGTTAAAATTTTTCATTTCCATTATAAAATTTCCAACGGCCCTTATGACCACAGACAGCCCTTAATCAAAAAAAGTCTTTAGATAAACATTGTAGATCAAATAATGTTGCACATCTTTTATTTGAAACATTTTTTTGTAAAATCAATAGGTACCAAGTAATCGCCAATGGCGCACTTTCAACCCCTATAGCGCAAAACGCCAGAGGGGTGAATGTTTGATATTTTCGGTTTTATGATCACCCACCCTACCCCTATCATCCCTGAAAAGTTCTTTTGGGTAGGATTTTTTTTTTGAAAATCGACAATTTTCCCAGACTATTAGGAATCTGAAATTGTTCACTATTTTTTTATTGATAATTTTTCAAATTTAGATATCACTGAATATATAAAATAAGATGGTGCAAAACTTTTTTTGCTGTGCATATATTAGATATGAAAACCATCAATTCAGTGAGTAGTTTAAAAATGCACGTTCAAAATAATATGCTTTAGAAGTCAGGAGAATTTTTACTTGTTTCTTAAATTTAGTGTGTACTTATTTGTGAACTTCTAAGTCTCTGTTTTAAGGTACTTTTTGAGATTATGTACTACGGTTTCTTCTTTTCCTTGTAACAAATTGCTAGGCATCTTGTTCAAAGTAACTATCTACACTTCTTGGAGAGTGTGTTTTCTAGTTTTTTTGTCATTTATTTCTTAGTTGTTCACATCTTTTTAGCTGGCAGTTATGATAGTCTTTGCTTTGTTTTAGTGTCACCCTTGTCTTGACCAAATTGTTTTGTATTTTGTAAATAAGCTTAACCTTTTCAAGTTTTTTTAGCTGTTTGTTCTTCAAGAATGGATAGTTACTCTATATAGTTTCGACAGATGTATAATAGTTTATTCCAAATATTATTTTTATAGGTAAGTGACAGGCTATTGCTGATGCATTTGGAAAGTACTTTGACTCGGTTTTTCAAAAACCAAATAATGTCAGGGAGTTTTTCCTTTTCAAGAAAGGTTCTGCAAAACATAAAAAAATAATGCCAAAGAAGTCCACAGCTGGGGACGGTATATCAGCCTCTATTTTTAGGGGATATGCAGAGGTTTGGGTGCTCTTGCTATATTCATAAATGACTTGCCCAGTTTTGGTAAATATTCAAAAAACCTTCTATTCGCTGATCATCTCAAAATTTTTACGGAGATCTCAACAGTGCAGGACTCATGGAGCTACAGTGTGATTTAGATTCGACTTTTGAATGATATAAAGATTGCTAAGCCCTAATGTGTGAAGAAATTCTGTGTCTTCTTTTGGCAAATCGGATTCAAGAGATGTTCCAAGATTCATGTTTTCATTTTTATGCTCTACAACATTGGCATACTTTAGATCTGTTCTCACAGAAATCACAAACTAGCCAGAACGAATTTCATTGGTTGAAAATAGTTAGGAAACTGGTTGTTGGCGATTTGCACCAATCAAAAACCCTCTGACTGAGTGCTATGTGATTTCTGTGAGAACAGACCTAATCTTCATCTCGTTTTTCTTCTTCTAGTTCTAAACTCTTCGTAGTCTCGGGTTGAGTTATTAGAAAACTCAGAATATCAAATTCATTTCAAATTGTCTAGCAGTCGTTGCCTAAAACTTAGTCTTGAAGGCAAATACACAATTGACCAGGTACGCTGTATCGTTTAACATGTATGATATGCGATTTCTAGGTTAGAATGAGATGATATTCCCAGGGATTTTACCACATGATTCTCAGCGATTGCCAATGGATTCCTATCTTATTTCCATGGAGTCCTAGGAGATTCCTAGCAATTCCTAGGTTATTCCCAGGGACTCCCAAATGATTTCCATGTATTCCTAATTGATTACTATGTGATTCCCTAGTGGTTTACCCCTCGTTTAAAATATATGTTGGTATTGTGTTTTTATGAAAAAATTTTTTTTTTTTTTTTAATGCATAATTCAATATTTATGAATTGTAGTAATAGTACAGGATACGAGGCCTATTTCATCAAATCATTTTACACCGTCTTGCATTGTTATCATCAGTTAGATAACATGATGCTGAAACGCACTTGTGCAGGGAAATAGATGGGAGTGGGGGATTTTGCTGAAATTTTTTTTTCAGAAAATGTCGTCATAAACAAGGAAAATATATAATTATACACCGTCTTGCATTTATTTATTGAGTTAATTTATACACAAAAAAATTTGGATTAACACATGCAAGACGTTTTCATGGGGGTTTTGGGGTTGTAATATTAGATAGAAATTGTCAGTTTTTCAGAGGGGTCAAATATCATTTCACACCACTTCATTGTTGATTTAGATTAAAGCTTGAATGTAG